ATTTTACACCTTCTCTAACAATAAAGCCAAACATAATCCTGACATTGAACTGCCATTACACCTTTGTTGGAGTTCCTCTTAGTGAAAAATTGCAACTATTTCCCTTTGTGGAGACCTATGGTTGTAATCTATATCTGAAGTCATAGAAAAAGGTCAACTCTTCATTAAAAGGTGTTTGGCCAAAATTGTACATTTAATTAGGTGGTATTTAGGTGGTCACAAACTCTTTTGAGCTAAATATTTTAAGATCTGGTGCTTTTTTTTTCACCAAAGATTTTGGGAAAATTCATTTGTTTTAATTTATATGTACTATATTATTTTTTTTTTTTTTTGGTACAATGAAGGAAAGCAAAACACTTAAACCGGGACGAGCCGGGGGATGGATACCCCCTACTATCATGCTCCATCCATTCGCCCAGACATGGAGGAGGGATTGTCACTCGTCGAAGCCCAACCAGGTTGGCGCCACCCGAGCCAAATGATCAGCCGCCATATTCACCTCTCTATGCACGTGCCTGATCCGTAGAGTCCACTCTTTCTTCGTTAAGGCTTGAATAGCCATGATCAGCGCTTCATATGCACACAATTCGCCTTCGGGCCCTGATATCACCTTCAACACACTCTGGCTATCCACTTCGGCAATTACTCTTCTATACCCCAACTCCCATGCTAGCTGCAGTCCCTCAAGCAGACCCCACAACTCAGTCCCTAGCACGGTGCATGACCCTATGTTGAATAGGAAGCCTCCGATCCAACGACCCATGTCATCCCGAAGTAGCCCACTGGCGCTACTCAATCTCGTGTGACCGTCAAACAATCCGTCCGTGTTCACCTTAACCATCTGCAAAATAGTATATAGCAGTATGTATAGAATGTCAAGACAAATTTGTTCCCTTTTATTTTTAAGGTTTGATACAATTAATTTAGTTATTTTTATTTGATTTTTCACCCTAATAACAACGGATTGTATATAACTCAACAATAATGGCCAAAATGGCCTTTTTTTTTCAGTTATGACTTGCACTTTATGTTTCTCAATTTTCTTTTTTCAAAGGGCAAACACTTTATACCTAAATAACACAAAAAAAAAGTATAGAAGAGGTGTCAACCAACACTAAAAAACCAGATATCGGGACTTGCCCTTGGGAATTTCAGATGAATCAAGATGTATAATTCCATCAAGGAGCAACCGCTAAGACAAAACAAAACTCCATAAAGGAGACTTAAACTTCACAAAGAAGACTAAAGCCTGACAAAACTGGGCTAACAAAACGAAAAAACAAAGAAAAACGCACACATAATGTACAAAAAACTAAGACCTTCTCTACACTTGACAGACCCAACGCACGACCACCCGAATCACCACATGAGCCACTCCCATTAGCATTGAGATCCAACAAAGCAGCAAACCGAACCACAAACCCGAGAACTACGAGACTCAACGCACGACCACACACGCCACTCCCATTAACATAGAGATCCAACAAAGCAGCAAACCGAACCTCAAACCCGAGAACTACGAGACTCAACGCACGACCACACAAACCACTCCCATTGACATAGAGATCCAACAAAGCAGTAAACCGAACCTCAAACCCAACCACAAACCCGAAAACTGTGAGACTCAACAAACGACCACACAAACCACTCCCATTAACATAGAGATCCAACAAAGCAGCAAATCGAACCTCAAACCCAACCACAAACCCGAAAACTGCGAGACTCAACAAACGGCCACAAGAGCCGAGTCTCTCCCAACCAAGCAGCAAACCGAACTACAAAATATTCACTTGTGAGTCCTTCATAAGAAGCGCAAACCCTACTAGAAACGATGTTTGCTTCTTTTCTTTTCATCGATTCAGTTTGTACCAACTTATCCAAGCGTTTATATGCTTCTTGCATGTCATTGGAACGTGTAGCCTCGACCATATAGATCAATCGGAGCTTTGGATAACAAAATTTAGTGGTCTCAGTGATAATTTTTTTATGTTATGTTTGCACTGTAATTTCTTAGAATTGAAGAGTTAGAGGGAGGGAGAAATTGAGGAAAAATTTTGGCCTTGCTTATCTTTTATGATTTTGATGTTATTATTCCTTCATTCAATAACTAAACTCAATGAAGCACTCATCTTAAAGCAAATATGGAGAGTGGCCCTTAAACCGAACCTGTTGATGAGCAAGGTATTAAAAGGAAAATATTTCCCATCAGGCTCAATCTTTGAAGTTGGTACATCATACAGTGCTTCATGGTTGTGGAGAAGTTGGATGAAAGTGTTGAGCAAGCATAAAGGTGCATTCAAGAAAACAGTCAGAAATGGATCAACAACAAATATTTGGCATGATCCATGGATACCAAATCATTCCCTAGGATTTCCATCCCCCAGGCTGGACATGCCTAGCCAACCTATCTGGGTAACAGAGCTCTTAAACGATGATGGCAGAAGTTGGAATGAGGAAAAATTGAGAGCCCTATTCAGTCCAGGAGAAGTTGAGAAAATACTAAGCATCGAGACATTAAATCCTAACCTGCAAGACTTCTCTGTGGCATCAACATACTCTCATTTAATTCACAGCAAACTGCAGGACTTGGATATTGCAGAAAGCAGTACAAACACATTACTCA